TGATAATGCTGTGGTGATTTCCCCTAGGGCACACTTTTATTAAGTCTTAAACAAGGCAAAGACAAGAACAAATCACCCAGGTAAAGAGTGAGAGAATAATGGTGTCCAAAAGATTCATGGATACTTTGTTCATTATAGAATACAGAGAACTAAAGAACTGGGCCACAAAATCACGATTGGCAGCGTATCATTTCGTCGCTGGCTGTCCTCGGTGGGAGAGGGAAGAGAGGCTGGGATGGGTGTCCACTACCACGGATGAGAAAAGGTTGCAGGATGAGTCCTGGCCCTCTGATGCATGCTGACCTTGTGGTTCTGGTCACCACCCATTTTCATCAGGTCCTTGAGGGCGAGATGCCCTTCACTGAGCTGGCTATAGGAGTCACAGGAATTCACTTTAAATCAAAACACTCTCCCTGAAGGCAAAAGCGGTTTCCATTGTCAACTGACCGTGGGAATGAATTTACGTCAAGACTCACTGCAGCTGGAGTTCTCACTCTAGCCTTCCACCACCCGCATGCTCAGAAGGTAACCTCCAAATAAGCCACAACCAGAGGCATATAAACACTTGTGAAGATGGTACAGAGCTCGGCAACATTTTCTATTATATATGGGTGTCCATGAAACGAGATTCAGTATCTATTAGCAATTTTACAAAGGTGGAAATGGAGTCCCCAACTGGTTAAGTAGTCTATCCAGGCTAGGGTCACACAGAAAGTAGCCAAAAGAGGGACTAGGGAGCTTATGAAGGCTTTACAAGGAGGTGGAAGTTGAATTTGTCTCAAGAGATGTGCACTGTTCAGAGGTCAAGATTATAATCAAGGTGAAAAGAAGGCTGCCAATGGAAAGAGCTTGACACCTTAAACAAAGATGCTTGGGTTCTATTGTGTATATATTTGCTACGATTAGAAAAAAAATACATGAATAAAATTTCTACAAGGAAATTGTTCTAGTATATAAGAATTGTACAACTCTTCTCAATATTATTGAATTATTGAATTGTATGACGTGGATAAAATGCTAATAAAACTTTAAAAAAAAAGATGCATGGTGTTTTTATATGGTTGGAGTGCTGCTGTATTCAGTGTGAGAAGATAGGAGATACCCTACCTGGGGCACAAGCCAGTCCATGTAGTCCCTTCTGTGACCTGCTAAACAGACTAATTCTTGATCTCTAAAATAGGCATTTTGACTTAATTTGTTGAGGTGGAAGATTCTCTTAACAAGAGGCTACAGGGAAGTGAGATTTTCCTTGAACTTCCCTCTTCACTGCTTCCTTCAGAGTCTGACATCCCCTTTGCCTTTGAACAAGTGGTGGTTGCAGCTCTGGCAGAATTAAGGAGGCTACAAGGGTGTGGGGTACCAGCCTCGACAATCAAAGGGATCCAAGGGGCAGCTGTGTAATTGAGGAGTAAAATTAAAGAGACATCAGACAAGATAAAGCATGCAAGTGCTCACTTCCGGGACTGTCATGACTTCAGGAACCAGATCCCCACAGAGAGAGTGAATATATTTCCATCCAAGGCTTATATGCACTCTAGGGGCATGCCAGTCCCTCTTATTACAGATAACCACGTGTAACAGGAAGGGCTTGTACAACAGGCATAGATGTGACAGGAAGGCATACACGTAACAAGATAGGTGGGCTCTAGTCAAGATGGCAGCCTAACCTTGGTCATCCCGGGGTTGGCTTGACTGTAGGTGTCTTTGGGTTCTCCTTCAGGGGAACCATCCATTATCCTTATCAGAAAGAGTACGTTCTACCTAGGGTGGGACAGACAATAGGGCCTCATTGCCTTAGATGGCTGACAGCCTTCAGGCAGATAACCTTTAAGCAGTTGACCTCCAAGTGTATAGTCAGTGACCATGTGTTTGCAAACAGCACCTTAGGTTTGGCATATATTATGGGAGGGCATCCTGGGGAATAGCTTTTCTGTTTCCCACACGAGGGACCCCGTCTCACCTGAAGACCTGAGGTTTTGTGATGAATAGAGAAGAAATGACAGTGCAGATAGGAATGTGCATTGAGGGAAACTATATTTGAAGTAGAGGTAGCAGTACACTTTGGAAACAACCAGGCTTCCACTAGATCAAGAAGGTAAAGATATACATCCAAAGAAACAGACCCTAAATCCCAGAGGGTTGCATGAACGGGCTTGAAATATGGTAAGGGCAGGATATATAAACTATTGAATTAGAGCTTAGATTCTGAACACTAGGTTTGTAGAAGGTTATGGATGACAGTGGAAGCTGAAAATCCATTTGCAGTGTCCCCACTTGGATTAAGCCTCCATGGAATTCCTTCTGACCATTATTCAGAGATGTGAATAGTTTGCCTTCATGCAGAGTACATTGGAAAGTGGATTACCTCTACCACCCTGACCAGTCAAAAGAAGATAAGTCTCCTGTATGGGCTTGCATAAGTGTGTCCTTGACAGAGACTGGCATAGTAGGGTTTCATAGTCATGAGTCATTCCCTGACTGCCTTGGTTGGAAGGCCCTGGCAAACTTGTGATCTCTTTGAACAATGTACGTGTCTCAATTATGGTCCCATTCCCATGTCTGTAGTGCCACCTGCACCTGCGATATATTGATATGCCACTAATGATGCTTCTGTGACAATTTCCTTTGCTCTCCCATATTCTTTTTAAAAAACAATCATTTTATTGGCAGATAATCCACATATCACACAATTCAGTAGGTCAATCATATCAACAAGAGTTGTACAATCATTGCCACAATCAATTTTATAAGATTTTTTAAAGACTTCTTTTAAGTTTTCATTGAAATGAATGTGATAAATATACACGAACACTTTCTTTCATGTAGTAGTAAAGAGTCACTAATACTTTAAAGAAAGAAACTATTTCATTTCCTTACAACTTGGGATTCACCATCAACATGGTCCACAAATGATATCGGAACCTCACCAATAGTTCAACTCTCTTGCCCGGACAACCATCTCCATTCAGAAGGCAAAGCCTTTAGAAACAGCCCTGATGATGTAGGGGTTACATATTGGGCTGTAACCCTATGGTCGGCAGTTCAAAATCATCAGCAGCTTTTCTGGAGAATTAGTCTCAAAAATCCACTGGGGGTCTGTGAGTCAGCATGGACTCCATGGTAGTGCAACTGTTCTATAATTAAACCACTATTGTTCTTAAGTTTAAATGGCTATAGTTTGCTGATCTTTACACCTGCAACTGTCCTAAAACTTGCCTTGACTCTGTGTTTAGAAACACTCCTCTGATACCCTGTACTTATTAACATATGTCAGGTGTGGCAGGTCACATGTACTACCTCATTTAATCCCCACAATCCTGGGATGTAGTTCATAGATAAATACGAAGTTCTGAGAAGTTAAAAGACTTTTTTTGTAATGGAAAGGCGAGTAAGTGGCATACCTGTGATTGGAACAACAAAATTTCTGACCTCAAAACTTGTGTTTTTAGCCACTGCATTAGGCATTACCTATGAAGGCAGTTTTCTGTTAGTTTTGCATTAAAATGGTTGTATCTCTTCAAAGTTTTTGAATCTACAGGGGTTTCATTTTCTTTATTTTTGGCTTCATTTTCATAAGGGCCCAAATGTTCTCCTAATCTGAAGATTTTCCCACAGGTATGTGAGATGATCCATCAATTTTTTTTACCGTTCTTTCAATGTACCAGTAATTAATAAGTGGATTATGCACTTTGTTGACAAGTACAAGCCCAGCTTATCTCAAAGCGTAATGAACACAGAGTGGGAGAAAGATAAGGAATAGAGTTCAATATCATCAAACAGACTAAGCTTATTGGGTGGGTAGATATAGAGTCCCTAAGACGATGGTCCCTCGGTCATCTTTCCGGTCTAGAATTGAACTCGTCCTGAGTGAGAATAATCACATTTAAAGTCATAGAGGCAACGTTTTCCCAAGAATTAATTCAAAAGTTTAGAAAAGGAGGAGCAGACACAGGGGAAACTGGAAACGGGGGAAATGGCTTCAGTGATGACATTTAGGAGATTGCAGAGGATGAGTTGAAACAAAATGTATATGAACTGTTCCATGTAAAACTAATCATCTGCTCTATAAACCTTCACCCAATTCACAATAAAAGTATTTGTTTAAAGCTGATTGACATTTATTATGACTTTGTCAAACGGGAAACAGGTTATCAAAGAAAGTGATCTGTCCTTGGCTAGGGCATAGAGAAGATAACCAGTGTCCAGGGAAATCTCCATGGAAATTCCAATCCCAATTCAAGTAAGCAGGGGCAATCTTTAAACTGTGCCCCCCAACCCCAAATTCAAATGAATAGATTTTGCTAGCAGTGATATGTCAGCAAGCACACATTCTCCAGTCTTGTTTGGCTGCCTCAGTAGGTACCTTTCATATTTGTGATACCCTGTAATGTCCCTCTGTGCCTTGTCTGGTACCTCTTGAATTTGTACCTGTGATCAAGTGTGGGACCCCTCTGACTACCTTGCTTCTCGAAGGATGCTGCGATATACCAGTTTAATTAAAAAAACTTCTCAGTGGTGCCCTGCTTCAAGTGGCACTCAGGGCACACGCCATACCTGCTATACCTTAGATATGCCTATGGCCCATGGTTCCACTGCTACTAAGTACCAGCATTAGGCTACCATCCCAGGACTTTATACTCTATGTTCTTTATACTTTCCTAACAGTATTCAGTGAAAATAGACTTATGCTCATTCTATGAAAAAGTAAATAGCTTTTTCCTGAATATAAAAGTAGAACATTCCCATTGTAGAAAATTCTACAAAACATACAAAAGTATAAAAGAAGAGAGAAGTCACCTACAATCATATCTTCTCGAAATAATAACTTTAGCCTTCTGATTTGATTCATTTCCTTCCCAATTTTCTCCCCTCTGTGAGAGGACGTCAAAGAGTTCATGGAAAAATTCCATGATCTTTACATTCCATTTTCCCATGATTTTTTTTCTAGCCTCCTCATGTGTATGTTGAAGGGGCTTCAAAAAGTTCATGGGGAAAATGGAGTTAGGATAATGATATTTTCCCACTGGGACCCTGGTGGTACAGTAGGGATGCACTCAGTTGCTAACTGAAACATCAGTGGCTCCAACCCACCGGCAACTTCATGAGAGCAAGATGCAGCAGCCTGCTTCTGTAAATATTTCCACCCTTGGAAACACTAGAGGGCAGTTCTACTCTGTCCTACAGGAGCATGGTGAGTCAGAATGGACTCAGAGGCTGTGGACTAGCTTGGCATGAATATCCCTTTTGTTGATCTTTGTCCACTTCCGATTACGTTCTCTGTCTGGATTCTTAGAAGTAGAGCAAAGGTGGATGATTCCGACAAACTGCTTTCCAGAAAAGTACCGGTAGCAATTAACCCTATGCCCAACAATTTGTGTTTTTCATGAGGCTTCCTTCTCCTCATTATGTTTTCTCTGGTGTTGAATAAGTTGTGAGCTATAACGATAGGCTTTCCCACAGTCACTACATTTATAGGGTTTTTCCTTGGTGTGGGTTCTCAAATGTAGAATAACTTGAGAAGTCTGCCTGAAGGTTTTCCCACATTCATTACATTTATAGGGTTTCTCTCCAGTGTGAACTCTCTGGTGGTCGATAAGGTTTCGATTAGACGTGAAAGCTTTCCCACATTCGTTACATTTGTAGGGTTTCTCTCTACGATGAAGTCTCTGATGTTCTTTTAGGGTCTTCCTCAAGATAAAAGCCTTTCCACATGCATCACATTCGTAAGGCTTTTCCCCAGTGTGAATTCTCTGGTGGTCCATGATCTTCATATTAGAGCCACAGGTTTTCCCACACTCCTTGCATTTGTAAACCTTTTTCCCTTTGTGCATTCTCTGGTGCTGAGTGAGGTTTGAACTTCGGCTAAATGCTTTTCCACACTCGATACATGTGTACGGTTTCTCCCCAGTGTGAACTCTATGATGTGAAATAAGACCTGAACTCCGACTAAAGGCTTTCCCACACTCCTTGCATTCATAAGTTTTCTCCCCACTGTGGATTCCCTGGTGCCGGATGAGGTGTGACTTACCACTGAAAGATTTCCCACATATGCTGCATGGGTAAGGCTTCAATCCTGTATGGATTCTCTGGTGCACTACAAGATTGGAGCTGTGACTGAAGGCTTTCCCACACTGCTTACACTTATAGGGCTTCTCTCCTGTGTGGATTCTCTCATGTACTGTGAGGTTTGCGCTCTGACTAAAGGCTTTCCCACACTCACCACATACATACTGCTTCTTTTCGGTCTGAATTGCCTCGTTTGTTGCAGGGTCAGAGCACTGACTACCATCTTTTTCTGATTTCTGGTCATTCACCGCTGAGAATGTTTTATTGTCTCTAACTGTCTTTTGTTTGAAGTTTCGTGTTTTCTTCCTCATTTTCTCCTGCACGGAGCATACCAGGACTTCATTAGTCTTCTCTTTCTTTTCGGAGGCTTTCTAAAGGTTTACTTTTTGGTAACACCTGTGTGGAGTCCTCTCGAAGGTATACCCATATTCTGGCTTTTCGGGAAGGGTGTCTTGGAATCAGCACTTCTTCAGTCCCCGCTTGACCACCTGACATGAGAAAGAAAAATTGTACATGTCACCTATTTCTGTAGTAGAGGGGAAGAAATATCCAAGGACAACATGATCTAGTAGACCACAGGGTGTCAACATGGAAGAGTAAATGTTCAGAGATAGGGGGAACTGATCAAAGAAAGTGAAAGAAAGTAGTCTAGACATAGACAGGGAGGCCTAGGTATTGGCTTCTGGAAAGCTGGGAGCTGACGGGAGCCCAACAAGCCCAGCATCAGAATGAGTGTTGAACAGTAGCATGAGACCCACTCCACTTTCCTGCTCCCCATGCTCGGCTCCCAGAATTGGAGCCTTCTACCTCCCAATGGACACATTGCATTGGGCAAATCTGCTGCACACGACCGCTTTAATGTGTTACAAAGCAAGGGGGTTCCTTTGAGAACTAAAGCACACCTGACCCAAGCCATGGCATTTTCAATCACCTCATATGCATGTGAAAGCTGGTTGTTCAATAAGTGTGGTAGTCACCTAATCGGATGTCAATTTAAGGATTAAAAGTGTAGGGGTGGAGTCTAGGCTGTCAATCTGGAGATAGCCAATGAGACTTCTGTGGGCATGGCCTTCTCCTGAGAATTCTGGGAAATCTGGTACTTCCTCTTTGGAGGAGGAAGCCATCTCTCTCTCTCTGCTACTCTCTGAGAGACATTGCAGAAGACAAGCGAGATGGACACAACCAGACCTCGGAAGCAGGAGAAGCCACATGGAGACCCCTGACAGCACTGAGATGTTTCCAATGACACTGGATCCAAAGACTCTCTACCCACTGGCCTGTGATCTTCTGCATTCGGCATCATTGCATGTGTTTCGTGAATCTGAAGAGGACTTTATAGATTGATATCAGAAATATGGGCTAATATCGGACTTATGTACTTGATCTGGACTGGACTGGGATGTTTTCTTAAAATACAATTACTCTTTATATAAAGTTCTCTCTTGCACATATATGAGTGTCTCTAGATTTGTTTCTGTAGTCCACCCAGACTAACACAGTAAGGAAGACTGAGGAAGATTCAATGCACTTGAATTATGGTGCTGGTTAAGAATATTCAAAGCACTGTGGACCACCCAAAGAACAAACACAAGAACAAACTTCGGTCTTGGAAGAAGTACAACCAGAATGCTTTTTAGAGGAAAGGATGGCGAGATTGTCTCTCTCATCCTTTGGACATGTTGTCGTGGGAGACCAGTCCCTGGAGAAGGACATCATGGCTGGTAAAGCAGAGGGGCAGCTAAAATGAAGAGGACCCTCGACAAGGGGAAGTGACACAGTGGCTGTGACAATGGGCTCAGGCATAGGAACAATTGTGAGATGGCCAGGACCAGGCAGTGTTACATTCTGTGCTGCAAGGGTCACTACGAGTGACTCGATGGCATCTAACAACTCCTAACGGCAGGTCTTGCACTCTTGCAAAAGTGAATTGAAAGCATCTCAGTTCAGATGCACAAATAACTAATCTTCAGAGTTCATCTTTTTAGTGTTTGCTGACCTGTTTCCCCAGTATTACTGATTTCGTGGTTGGCATAAACTAACTGCCCAAGAATTGTCTCAGACAGAGTATGACTAAGATTTCCTTTTTCATCAGTCCAGGTAGCAGGCTGCCATCATGAAAACCTATCTTGATAATGAGTAACCCAATTATTCCAATAGTAGAGCTCCATCACATTGTAGCCTGTTCCATAAGGATCAGAATGTAATTAGTTGCATCCCTCCATGACAAGTGGTTTACTCTTTTCTAAGCTGTCACTCTGACAGACTTGAGTCCACTGGGTAAATGTGAGAGGCTGAACCATGGGAAGAGTTAGTTAAATCACTGCAAGGGAGACTCTGAGAGAACCTCATATTATATACCAGTAAAATGCACAGACTTTATGCAAGAGGTGCTGATACATGAAATCAAACATCAGGGGGTGAGCAGGAATTTGACACACTGTTCTGAACAATAGCATAACCACAGCAGACCCTAGGACTGGGTTGTAAAAGGACTCTGCAGTGTTGACACTAATTTTTCTCCTATCGTGCTCCTTTTTAGACTTGTATAGCTGCATACTGTTACATAGTTTCTAACATGTTTTAGATAACCTGGTATCCTTCTACTTAAGTTTTCCTAAGCATTTCCCCACAACGCTCTTTACTCATAACAGGATCATTTTGTGACCACACGAGGCACCATGAGATAGATTCATTTTGCAAATGTTAGACATTTCTGTCATCCCCACTCCATGTTCAATCACAAGCACTAAAACGATTATGACCACTTTATAGAATATTTGTTCTTGTTGAAATCTATCTCTTGGATAAATGTTCTGTGACTGGGTTCTTGAGCCAGAAAGAATTAAATTGTTTTACAGGACTGCCTATCCTTTAAAATAAAATTCTGATGAGGTTCCATTATCTCATAACTCTCTGATGAACTGAGTTACACTTTCTAAAGGCAAGCCCTGACCAGCGGGGAGTGCTCAAGAGCAGCAAGGAGGGAAACAAGAAGCAGACAATGTCACTTCTACCTTTTTCTCTTTTAATAAATCATTTTATTGGGGGCTTTTTCAGCTCACAGAGAGACATTCTGGAAGTAGGTTCACTTGCTATCCTATCTGCTCTGCAACCCACTGGCTTCTCACTGATATTTCCTCCACCTGCTTCACCCTATTAAGTTAGGAGAGACAGCAACATGTGGATGTGGGGATGCTCCTAGGATCTTGGCAAAAATCCACCCTTCTCCACCATTCTCTTATGCCTTCCTTTCACACACATTTCTGTTTTTCATCCCCCTTGGAGAGGATTATACATCAATCAATACAATTGTTCCCCCATTTTCTCCCCAGATCTTATAACAATCCATACATCAATTGTATCAAGCACATGTACATATGTTGCCATCATCATTTTCAAAACATTTTCTTTCTACGTGAACCCTTGGTATCAGCTCTTTTTAAAATCCTATCTCCCTTCACACACATTTCTGTTTTTCATCCCACTTGGGGGGATCATTACCATTGGTCCCCCATTTTCTTCCCAGATCTTCCCCCTACCCTCCTGGTATCACTACTCCCATTACTGTACCTGAGGGGTTTATCTGTCCTGGATTCTGTGTGTTGAGAGCTCTTATCTGTACCAGTATACATGCTCTGGTCTAGGTAGATTTCAAGACA